GTGGAGCAATGAAATCATCCCCATAATGTGCACTAGAATTGCATAAGTGTAAAAAAATACCAAAAATAGAGCAGTAAAAAAGGGTCAATAGAAGGATTTAGAGGAAAGTGGAGAGATGGAGCTCAATAGGGAAAAGTAAGCTGGAGCAGAAGCACAGGACTGGGCTCCCACTGTGCTGCAAAAAGTGCTTGGGGCAGCTGGTCTGCTACCGGGCTCACTTTGTTCTCAGCAATGACAGTTTCATTCAGGGAGGCATGCACTGGGCTCTCCAGGGCCAAAGCGCCCCTGTGCTAGCTTGCTCTTTCTTTCTCTGTGTGCTGTTCTTCTTTCAAACCTAACCTTTCCTGCTTCTCGGGTGCTGTGTGTGTGTGTGTGTGTGTGTGTGTGTGTGTGTGTGTGTGTGTGTGTGTGTGTGTGTGTGTGTGTGTGTGTGTGTGTGTGTGTGTGTGTGTGTGTGTGTGTGCTGATGTGCTGTAGATAGCTTGCGGTGAGTGCCTGCCATCAATGCACTGAATCAAATGTAGATATCAATGTCTGACACTTTCTTAAATCAGGCATCTCATTATTGAAATAGAATGCAGGACTTTAGTTCTAGCAATAACATTTAAACAGGGAGACCAGAATCAACAGAATAAAAATCATGTACGTGGCTGATGTATCACTTCAGAGAATAAGCATGTAACCTCATTGAATGCATGAGGTGAGGTACTGGTGGTTCGTTTCCAGGGCAACGCGTTTACATTAACATTTTAGGATTTAACCTGCTGAGGATTTTTTAACAGTACCACTTGCAGTGTGCAATGCAACATAATGATATGCTTCATTTTCTCTATCATCATAACTGAAAATAATGCAAAGCCACTGTGCACCGGCTATTTGATCAAGAAAGAATTATCACTTAAAACAAAATTGCTTAAAAAAAAAGAGAAAAGCAGAATAGCTTTAAGGGACTTCTGAATAGAATATGATTCTGCTGTCTGAGCCTGACTAATGTGTACAAAGGTCTGCTCGAGAAAAATATAAAGACTTCTTAATGAATCTCTAAAAAGCACTGCATCTATCTATACCTGGGTGAAACTCAGCACAAGGACCTTAAAACTAAATGCTAAAACTGAGATGTTTCTCAGAATTTAAGAATAGGTGCCTCTGGGCCAAAGCACTCAGGGTTACCTAAGGACAAGGCCTTTGTCTGGTCTCAGGTGGCCATGCCCAATTGTCTGCCTGTCTGTCATTTTGCCATAAGCACTTCATACAGCGCGGTGACCTGAAGGGACCAAGGAGAATTTATTTTATCCATGACAATGTCCAGATTGTACGCCTGTCAATCACACACAAAGGAATGGGCACGTGTGCATCAATACACAAATAGACATATAAAAACTCACTAACGGAGCAAAAAGGAGCCACATGTGTGCGGATACAAACGAGCACAGTGTAACCATCTATTGTAACGTATGTCAATACCTTTAAGAGGTGGTTATGTCTGTTAACCAGTATTAGGAACCCAGCCAACAGTCTCTTTTTAGAACCGAAAAGATTACTACGCAACATCTGAGACAATGTGCATTAAGAGCTGGGCAAATTCTTATTACACAACAACATCATCTGTATGCCATCTGAGAGGTGACATTATTGTACTATTAAATATCATGGACATAAGTCATGCTTATGATCATTCTTACAATTGGCCTGGGTCTGATTTAGATTTCTGGGCAATACCTCCCTGCAGGTCAATCAGTATTGCTCCCCACACCTTTCAGGACAGGAGGGGGAAGTGGAGCAGGCGAGTTAGGGTTTATGGGTAGAGCTCTGCGAGAATCTGAGTCGAGGTTACCCAAAGTGCAGTGGGGCTCTGCTGCCGGCTCCGTTTGAGGGCCTTAACCAAGGACTCAAGGGATGAGCGCAACATTTGAGGAAGAGTGTGTGTGTGTGTGTGTGTGTGTGTGTGTGTGTGTGTGTGTGTGTGTGTGTGTGTGTGTGTGTGTGTGTGTGTGTGTGTGTGTGTGTGTGTGTGTGTGTGTTTCTGGGCATGCATGTGTGTGCGCGCTATTGTGTGTGTGTATTGAGGGTTGGATCAGTGGAGTAAATCCACACTTGAAAGAGTAGCTCAATCAAGCTCTCCCACCCATCTCTCTCTCTCCCCCTGTCTCTCTCATCTCGCTGATGCACCCCTGCTCCCAGTTCACCGAGAGTTGAAGAGTTCACAGGACTGAGAGCTGGAGAGTGCACCACAGGGCGAATCAGAGCAACTACGAACCTGTAACACTTATCAGCACCCTATTCTAACTGTCAATCGATCACTGAATAAGGAGCAGCCAATGACAGGGCGTACCAAAGTCAATATTTGCTCAACCAACATGTCAAGTAACAACTGAATTGATGATCATTTAGACACGGACATAAAGTATTTAAAACTCTACCGTTAGTCACACTTGGTTATTCCCATATATCTTTGAAACAGTGTCTCAGTGGAATTACTGAATATTGTTATTGAAAACTATTTTAGTCTATAATATCTATTAGAACAAATCTATTAGTTTAGAGCCTTTGAAAAACAGAAAGAATACTTCAGATTATTGAATAAATGAAGACTGTCAACTTGACTGTTATATAACTTGTTCAGCTGATATAATTAAGAATACATTTTTCAATGTCAGATATCCTGGCTACTAATTCCTCATGAGTCAATTATAAGATTATATGAAATCAAAATGATTATATTAAAAGTCTCTGACATAAATGTACCACTGTCTTTGTAGACAAAACTACTTTTGGTTATCATTCTGTACACCGTCTTGGTTTGATTTCTGCAGCTGGTTTGTCTTCATTGACGAGTAAAGCCTGTACTTTGAAAGGGAATAAAAAGCATGACCCAACATTTTGTTTCCTTTCGATTTGATAAAGACGATTTTACGCTGCCAAATGTAGAGAAGATGCCCTTCATTAGAACAGTGCGTTCCAAGCATGTCCATATTTTAATCCAATCTAGTTTAGCATGATAAAGGGCATCACTGCCAAACGGCTTTACTGCCCACCCACTCGTGTGCATGCATATACACGCTTGACATGGAGAAAATATGGTGCCTTTAGGGAATCTGGGGTAGACAATGCACCAACCAAACACACATGGACGTTTGGAGAGACACTTATGTAATTTTCTCCTCACGAATGAAAGAATTTACAGGTTAATTTTATAGGCTGAGATAAACACATCCATCTAATGGAAGCATCTTCTCATTGCATTTAAATGAACAAAGATGCCTTGCTTGAAGGAAAAATGGCCTGTGGTGGTTTGCACTGGGTCATTAATTTGCTCCGTAAAACTCTTATTTGAATTAACGGTAGAGTAAAACTTTTTAGGAGAAAAATGTCATTAGTGTCTTGAAAGAGCTTGAAGCTGCTTTCTCATGTGTGAGAAAAAAGAGAAGAGAGTTTCTCCTTAACCCAATAAATGGTTCAGGTACTGACTCACCAGACCATCTTTGATTCACTTGTCAGGCTACAAAATGAAGGAGATTTAGAAAAGCTATTTTTGTGGCACTCTATTCAGATGACTATTAGCTGCCAAGAGCTGTCATTGACATAAAAGGACGCCGTAAGGGGTTTTGTTGTGTATGTGTCTACACATGTGTGTTAACAGTGACTCATTCTGCATCACTCTTTGGAACATTGTTGCTCGCAGAGACAGCCTCATCCGCTAAGTTGGTGAGTGCACGCACATTTTTAAGTGTGTGTGTGCATATGTCAACATCCTCTTTGTGTACATAGAGGCTGTTGAGATGCGAAACCCTCCTGCTCTCTGAAACAAAACAAGTGCCCAAAAATGTGACAAGCGGGCTGAGTAGAGACAAGCAATCCTTAAACAAGAGGACATGAATTGAAGTGCTTTGAACATTGTCAGGCTGGGCCGAGGCCTCACTGAGACCTCACTGAGACCTCACTGAGACCTCACTGAGACCTCACTGAGACCTCACTGAGACCTCACTGAGACAGACTGACTGAAATGATCACACTCGACAGGAGACCCCGGCATGATGGCATCGTTTGTGTCACATCTTACATCCATAACCAGTGCAGTTCAGATGAGCTAAACTAAAAGTTACAGATTATGATAATAATAATAAAGTTGCCCGTATATGGTTAATAATTTTCAGGCAAGTTTTTAGATGAAACACTTTCATTTCACAATGGTAATGTTCAGTCTTTGTGGCCTTCTTGTGTATTTATTCATAGTTACATAAAGTTGTCTTCTTTGAGATATCGCAGTTATTATAGAAAGCATCCAAATGCTGGTACTAAAAGGTTGCAGACAACTACATGCGAGGCAAACATTGTACTTGCTCCATTTGTTTCTCCCAAGTAAAAGAATACCAATAAAGTACATGTAAAACATACTTCTGTATTTACAGGATAAAGTGCATCAAGGAAAGCAGCTCAACACATTACAGTTCAACAGACACTGCCTCTTTTGTTGCATGGCCTGACATGTGCTGGCCCCATTTCCGCAGACCACCAGGCACCGTGCACTGCCACCTGATGGCGAAACTGGGCCTTCAGCTGCCCTGTCCACCTGGTCACCACAGTTTACAGGGAAAATACACAATGCAAGCCAAAAACCTATCAGCAGCCATTACCAGTAGCACAGTGTAAGAGGAAGTTCGGGCAGGGGGGAGCGGAGATAAAATGTGGCGCTCACAGGAGGGTGTGTGCAGCTAGATATGTTTTTCCACTCCACTGGGGGCACAGCCAACCTGTTCCCCTGGTTTATATATGGAAGTAAACAGGATGCTAACAGTGTGAACGCAGTGGCTCCCCATATGTAGCCCCATTATCTTGACGTTAGGAATAAGATAGTGTAGCATTTAACAGCCCGTCTCTGCATAACTAAAAAGTTCTAGCTAAACCATGTTCTGTGCGTGTCTAAGAACTTCTCTTGGAGCATTACATGAGTTATTAGGCGAGGACAGCCTGTTTTGAGCTTGTGTGTGGTATGTACTTACAGCAGGTACGAGGAGCTTCTTGACCTCCTCCACCGCTCTCCTCATCTTCATCTCAGCTCTGCCCTGTGTGTCTTCCACTGTGATCAGGACATGAAGGTCTTCGTTTAAGTGTTCCCAGTTTGGCTTCCCTCTGTTCTGCTCTTCCTGGAAAGACGGAGAGAAAGCAAGTGAGAGATATGGTGAGTGAATGTGACAGTGTGGGTGTGTTGAAGCACCAATGCAGTAACACAGCGTATCACAGGAAGCGACAGTGAAATGCAGGCATGCACAGAGGGCAAATAGGCCCTGTGAAGAGAAGCAGGATAACAGGAGCGCCCCTTTAGTCAGCTATTTCGCTTTAACTTTGAAAGGACACCTTTCTTTAATAGATCCCTCGCTTCACAGAGACAAAGACGACCGATAGCCCTGCAGCAATTAATATCAGCCAAAGATGGATGGGTGCAGGGATCAGAGAGAGATGGATGGGGATTATTTAAGCCACACCACCTTAACTAGTCAGTATGCAATTATAATACATGGATCAAGTTCAAAGAGCTGCAGGATTGTGTGGAGGTGCACAAGCGTGAGCCTCTGTCTCTGACTTGTGTTTGGGTGGACAATAGAGTCCGGGTAACAATAGCTCACTGAGGGAGTCGTTTTCCCCCCTGAAAAGGCTGCGCCAAGGCACTCACAGGCGGCCAAATTATAGTGCTAGCAGGACCTGCAATGCAAAATGGGCTGTATTCAGAGCCTTTGAACACAGTTAAAAAAGTTGATGTTTCCGGATTTCAGCTTAGCTTTGTTGTATGTGTTCCAGGTGCCTCCACGTGAAGGACAGTCACACTTTAATCTTTTGTAATAAGGTCAAATGGGATATTCTGAGACAAATGTGGAGTAGCCTGACAATTGCATAAAATAAAATTAAAAAAACATGCTTCGACATTTATGATAGCTACTTTCCTCCCTCTTTTTGAAGCCCAACTGACAGTAAATGTAGTGTGCAGACACTAAGAGCGCTCTAAAAAGCTTTCGAGGTTGTATCACGTGTCACTGTACAACGGTGAAAGTCAGCGGTTTGAAAGCAGACTACTTTCTCCCCCCCCCCCCCCCCCCCCCCCCGAGGTGAGTAGTTGAGGTCTCGGTCGTCTGAAGCAGACATGACCTCAGATTCTCTGATGTGTGACACCACATTAAACATCATAACAGGAATATAATGTTACGAGGGTTAACGGTTGTTTTATGAAAACAAAACAGGGACATCAAGAGAACTGTAACTCAAAAAGATTTCAAAATCTGAATTTAGATTTTTTTCCGAAAGGAGATCAGAGTCTCAAGCAGTCAACCTCATCCCAGCCCTCTCCTCTCCTGCTGCTACAGGTTTTGTACAGACTGTTGATGAACACTGTGTCATTTACTGCCGCCCATACAAAACACCCCAATTTCAGATCACTGTTCATTAATGAGTAGTGAGCTACTGCAAGGGTGTCTAACTACAAACTATGCATTGAAGTGCTCTACAGGGGGTCCACCCGACATGATTTCAATACACTAAACGAGCACCGCAGACTCAGAGGGAGCACGCACACGCACAAAAAGACACACATAAGGCTTAGAGCTTGAGCTGAGTGCCACCCACCTGCTTTCTACTCCACAGAGACCTGTTGCCATGGCACTGCTCTTTACAACACACACACAAAAACACACCGAAGAAAGTTCAATATTCCACTCTCGTTTTCCTCTTTTCCACATAGGGGGGGAAGGCCTAGTTGCAGCAGTCAGGCCATTATTTCACCATGGCTGTTTGCTTATGGCCTATTAGGGGACAGGGGGAGTAGAAGGTGACTCAGCACTTTCTAGAGGAGACACAGACAGACAGGCCACAAAGGTTGTCTCTGAATGCAGGGCACTGCATGAAAGCGCATAGCGGATAAATGCACTATATCAACATATTGTTGCCCAAGTTGGACCCAACAAGATTACTCAACTCAATCACATATCAGTGTGTGTGTGTTTATGAGGGTATGTGTGTGCCTGCACAGTGTGTCCATGCCAAAGGATTCTGATGTAGCATTGTGGGCAAAGAGATCTGGGAAAAGACAAACAAACACACACACACACACACACACACACCTCACACCAGCATGACTGCCTGTGAACAAGGTCACTGTGTGTCCTCTGAGAGAAAGTGACAGCATGACAAACAGGAGGAAGGGTGGAGCTGTGGGGGAGTGAGAAAAGAGAGGGGCGGTGGGGCGAGAGCTAATGGGAATACTGGGAAGGCCTTTGAAGAGTATGTGCATGTTGGCCCACATCAAATGCCACGGCAATAAGCAACCACATACTAGAGGGTTATCGGTTGGCAAAATATGTAGCAAGAATTAATAGCTCGGACACTGAATCTAGGAGCAACATCTAAGAATAGGATCAGTGGGAAAGGTTGCCAGCCAGTAATGTCGTCTGACTTCCATCGCCGGTACAGCACCTGTTAGCCTTCTGGCTTTCACACCCTTCATTTGGACCCCAACAAACTTTAACCTCAATTCTCAACATGGATGACAGCACATACAAACAGGTGCCACAAATAGAAAACTATTTTTCTTCTGACTCTTTCCAGTCTGTTTTCGGCAGCACTAAAAAGAAGAGGCCCTTTAAACTAGCTGTTTGCATTAGGGATGGGGACGATTAATCGAATATTCAGGTATTCGAATACGAGTTATGAATATTTTTATTGTAATTTAATTTTTTTTAATTTCTCAATGTATACGACAGTGCCATAGCTAAATGTGTTAGGTCTAAAGATGTGTTTTGCTCCGCTCACCGGTCCCTCACAGCGGGCAGAGCTGCAGGTGCTGATCTCTCTCTCGCGTCCGGTTATACTTCACTCGCGTTTATGTCCAAATCCATCAGAAAACCAAGTTATGTTTTAAGCAGGAAAGCTGTAGGCCTATAGCTGTCAACTGTTCAAACTGTGATCACCAGTTCAATACATTTGACAAATTCGACTTGGTTTCTATACTTATTTGAACATGTATTTATTTATTTTATATAAAAAAAAAAAACATTTTTCCCAGATTATTTTTTATTTTTTTTATATAGGATATGTACGTTTCGGTTCACCGTTTTTTTGGGGGTCGAATATTCGAATATACATTTGCTTTCAAATTCCCATCCCTAGTTTGCATGTTACTCTATTGATCCTGTAGGTACTATCATTACACCAGCCCCCACCCAGGGGGTAGTTACACTACACGGTCATGTAAGCTGGAAGAGATTCATTGCATGGCTCAAGGACACATAACAGGGTGCACACTATCAGAGACAAAGCTTTCAATCTCTGGTGTTGTGTGTGAAGGTCGGGCCTACTTAATATAACACCCTGCTGCCTCAATAGGATTATTGACTACGCGGCGCTACAATTTTGTTCCAGCGATGTTGCACTTTAACATTCATAAATGAATTGTTTGCACTGTTTCAACTCTCTTGCTCTGAACAGTGACTTCTCCTTTGATGCTAAAGGACATTCCCAACTGGGGTCGTGCAACTGAGGCTAAATGCCAGCACACCAAACAGGTGCAGCGGGGGCAAGGAAGGACAAGAGAGCAGGCGGGGCTGTAGAGGAAGGATAAAACTCAATATACACTTGTTCAAATTCTTTCTACTTGAATATCCAAGTAAGACAGATGACCTTTTAATATTAAAACGTTAATCAAAAATCAAGAATGGAGGCCTTTTGAAAGCTTAGTGATTTTGGTCTACCCAATGATTGCTTTGGGTTGGATCTCTTTTTATAAAATACAACATTATATGTAATATCTAAATCTAAAAGGACAAAGAGGAATAGTTCAGAACTCAGAAGGAAATCCCAAACAGGTCTCCTAAATGTCAGGATTCCTGGCTCTTTGTGAAAAATGATGCATACTTTAGCACTCTTAAAAGACTAAATTTCCTTCTTTAAAAAACATTTCCAGCCACGTGCATATCCAGTGTATTAAAAGAAACACCTAAACATTGCTTCCCTTTATTCATCAACACAATAGCTCCCCATTTACTCCTAAGAAACTAGCTTTCAGCTGCACTGGGACAAGTATTCAAGACCAATGAGATGAGAAAGGAAAAGCAAGTCAGCTTAAACTCTAAACAAAAAGTGGGCATGCTGCAGTGCCAACGGGCCAGTCAAGTCCAATATATTGATTGGGAATGTCACACTAGTTTCATAAATAAAAGCAATAAAATGTAGATGCTGGGGTGTGGCACTGTCTATTTTCTGGCAGGGGTTGAAGGTCTATTCTGTTCTGCCAGTGCTGAGACTAGCTTTTTAGCCATTATGTGCCAGGAAAATCAGCAAAAAACTAAATCAAATGAAATTAATTTAATATAAAGCACATCTTAAAATGCAAGTCTGAAAGAACACTTTAGTTTGTCTCAAAGTATTACAGCTATCTTTGTGCCAAGTGTGATCTCACTGTGTTGGAGCCAAAATAGAATTAGATAAAGTGTCTCAGCAAAAGGAGGGAAATCCCTATCCTATTTGTGCTACGGTCGATATAACGTACATGTAATTGAATTGCTGTTCCTGTTGTTTTGCATTAGACATTACTGTAAGAGTGAAAACCAGCGGGACTCAAGCTGCCACATTAGATCAAAGTTTGATTGGAATAAAGCTCCACAAGGAGTCCTTTATCCTTTTAACTGTTTAGACAATAATAATGGAGAAGGAGAAAGCGTCTTCCTTTGGACGGTAACTCAAGCCTTCCAACTAAGAAAATGATGCAGAATAAATAAAGGGACTGTTAGACGTATCATATATACACCTTCAAAGAAGTGCTCTGTACAGGATTAGTGTATGATCCCTCCTCTCTCAACCAATGTGTCAAAAGAAGGAAGTCCAGAAGCCTCAATGCAGACAATTGACAGGAAAGCTGCATTAACCGATTAACATAGACACTTTATATTTGTTTAGTTTGATCAGAGTGTGAAGGGCAGTCTTGGGACAGATCATTATCCTGCGTTTGTCACTCCTGTCATCTACACACATACACAGCAGGGTTTCCGTTAGCCGGTAATTACTGGTTTTTAGCTGGTCAAATGTATTAAAAACCGGTAAATTAAAAAACCGCCGGTCAAAATGTCCGGTAATAATTAGGGATGTTCCGATCGATCGGCCGCCGGTCATTATCGGCCGATATTCACTCTTAATAGTTTGATCGGTGCTCTCTATAAAGGCCGACCAGGAGAGCTGGATCTGATCGATATGGACATAAACGCGAGTGAAGTATAACGGGACGCGAGAGAGAGATCAGATCAGCTGCTGCCGAGTCTGACGGAGGCACGCAGCTCTGCATAATCACCTGAAGCCCCCCCCTACTGTTTAGCGAGCTGCATGAGAAACTGACGGCTGTCAGGAGAGAGAGAGAGAGAGAGAGAGAGAGAGAGAGAGAGAGAGAGAGAGAGAGAGAGAGAGAGAGAGAGAGAGAGCGAGAGAGAGAGCTAGAGAAGAGAGAGAGAGAGCGAGAGAGAGAGAGAGAGAGAGAGAGAGAGAGAGAGAGAGGATCCGTTTCTCCCGTATTATTATCCAAAGTTAATGTAAACTTTTGAATAATGTACTTCATCTACAACAAGTAGTTTGTTTGAATGTAATAATTATGTTGTTTGTGGAATAATTTTTTCGATCTGTTACGATTATAAACTGTAGCAATATAAAAACGAGCCCCATTAACTGAGTTTTAAACATCAGCATATCCGGTCATAGTCCGGTAATTACCTGCTAACGGAAACTCTGCTACACAATTCTTATTATTATGATTGAAACATGACCGGTAAGTTTCAAATTTGTCCGGTAAAAATAAATTCTGTCCGGACATTTGACCGGCAAGAAAAAATCCTAGCGGAAACCCTGATACACAGGTGGGTTTAGTGATTTCACAATTGTATTATACTGTGATCATGAATGACATATAATATAAGTATATATTTGAGTTTGGTAAATATATATATATGTGATATTTGCAATTTTAAAAAGCAACATTGAATATGTTTGTATATAGTCAAACAAACAAACATACACATTAGCTATGAAATTATACAAGTGAATAAGCTAATAGTCAAATAATAACAATTGTCAATCATAAAATGGTAAAATCCTAAAAGCGACAGCAGTGGTAAAATATAAAATAAATCTTCTGTCACATCTAACAAATCAAAAGGCTAGCTTTAAAAGGATGGGAACGGTAATGAGTGACAGTAGGCTTAACAGTATTTGTGGGGGATGTTCAATAACAGCAATCAAAATCATTATTTTAGGGAAACAATAAATGAAAATCCACAAATGTAATATAACAAAAATTGAAGTGGAAAATAAATTGATCATGACATCCCTTATTATAAGCATTATGTTTGTGAATTACCACATTTTTCTCTTCACCTGCTTAGTTTCCTCCTCATCGTCTACCTCTGCTTTTCTTCTCTCGCCATTGTTCTTTCTTTTGTTTTACTCCTCTTCCCTCCCTCCCTCCCTCCCTCCCTTCCCCTGATGAGTGTCTGCTCGACTCTCTCCCACTGCATAGCTCCAGTGAGCCGATTCCCCGCCAGGCAGTGCGGCCCAGGAGGGAGCAACCAGCTGAATTATTGAGAGCATAAAAACGCTGCCGCTAATGGATCCTGAATAAACACACTGGCTAAGCTGCTCCCGCGGCTTCCTCTGCTGCCACAGGGCATCAAGCAGGAGATACTGAGGGTGAGGATGCAGCGGCGGGAGGCTGCGGCGGAGCCTTTGTCTCGGCCCGAGCCTCCGTTATGACACTCTGGCCGTCCAAAAGCTTTTTGTGATTTATTGCCATGGGAGACAGCAGAGGATATAAAACTGGCAGGGTGTTTTTGTTACATTGTATTTTCCCACAGCTTAACCCAATGTTACTGAAAATACCTTAGTAGTCTAAGGTAAGGGACAGAAAAGTAGAGAGGAATGAGAATGTCCTTTAAGATATAAAGCTTTTGTTAAAAAAATGTATGCAATGATTTTTATTTTAGATGATATTTTATTTAGATTATTAGACCCATCTAATAATAAAACTGATTTTCTTCCTAACTTCTATAAAAACCAGCCAGGATTATTTATAAAACAATTTAATATTGGCAAATTTCCTGACTTCATCTCATATCAACATACTGAGTAAAGACAATATCCTGCTCTGCTGTTTTCCAGTATAAATTTAAAACTGGATTTTGTTAGCATAGTAATTTGGCTTTAGACATATCCAGACTAAAACAAACTAGCCTGAGCCATTACATTTTAAAATGGTAAGAGATTATTAGGATCATAATATTCATGTAATGAGCTAAGACTAGCTTTTAAGATGTGTGTTTGAGCACATTTTCTCCCATTGAACTACTTCAGGATCTAATTCCAAAGTAAAAACCATAAGCAGAGATCTTCATCTTGTTCTGTTATAATGAACACACTCCGAGGGAAATAAGGAGACGAAGAGACAGAAATTAAAATATGAATTGAGGAGCCATTAAAAAAAAAAGAGCGAAGAAAGCGTTGGCCCTGCAGCAAACTGAGGCTTCGAAGATTATGACTCAGCTGAAAATCTGTGTACGTTCGTGTGTTTGAATTTTTTTTCTGTTACTATGCACTGTGGGGTGTGTGTGTGTGTATGTGTGTATGTGTGTATGTGTATGTGTATGTGTATGTGTGTGTGTGTGTGTGTGTGTGTGTGTGTGTGTGTGTGTGTGTGTGTGTGTGTGTGTGTGTGTGTGTGTGTGTGTGTGTGTGTGTGTGTGTGTAGAGAAGGTGATTCCCATACCAAGAGGGATGAAACACACTTGTGTAAATGCATTGTTTTATAGCACCGCCGCCTGGCACATCAGAGCAAGTGGGAGGTACAGAAAAAAAAGAAAAGGAAGAGAATTAAAAATAAGGAAGCGACTCCAAAGAGGTATCACTCAATGAAGAAGAAAGTCAAAAGAAAAAAAAGCCCAAAAAAGCTATAACATGCACGGATGCTTGTTAAACCACAATGTTCAAAACTGTTTGTCGTCATAGTACATCAAGGAATCTGATCCGACACACTTTGGAAACTATTTTCAATACACTGCAGTTACTGTAGCATTTATGGTATGGTGCATTAATATTCAATATATATACTCTGCCAAATTATGCACCGAGTCAACATTGTAGGCGTGAAAAGACACTACTGCAGGTTGACCTGATAGTAGGGCAATAAAGCCATAGTCTGAGAAGCTTTCATCACCTTTGCAACATAGTCAGCCTTTTCATTCTGTCACGTGGCTGTTTACATGCATTTGCATAATTTAATGGAAAATATGTTTTGTCCTTTAAAGTAAGCTACCATTTTGTTTTGCCTAAGTTCACCCCTTGGGTCTCAGGATGTGTACACACACACACAACATTAACCTTTTAAGTCTCCAACCTCAGCTCAGTAGCTCCAGAAATAGAGGCGGCCCCTGGCATTCGCCGTCTGCCTTTCCACAGCGCAGCGTTTAGCAAACAGCCCTATCAGATGTCAGAATGCAGCCAAGAGCATGAACCGAGCGTGTGTTTGTGTCTCTACTGGGCTAGTGAGACGTGCTTGTGGACAGCAGTCGCAGCGAGTTTCACATTATTGTGTCATATCCCAAGACATATGATGAATCCTTGTGGAGAAATAAATACGCGAGTGTATATGTGAAACGCTTTGGTAACACTTGGGACTTAATATAATAATATACAAAGTAACATTGTTATTAAGACACTTGCAAATGAGCTTACCTTCTTCTTGTCTCTCATGGAGCTTTTGCCTCGCACCATGATTTTGCATCCCGTCTCTGCTTCCAACTGTTTGGCTGTGAGTCCACGAGGGCCAAGGATTCTCCCCACAAAGTTATACTGCAAATACAAAAGGAAACCAGTTAGTCTATGGGTGAATATACAGTGAGATATTACTTTACATCACATGTGGAATTGCATATAAAAGCAGAGCACAAGGGAGAAAGAGTTAATAGGCAATTAAATTATTTCAGTAACAAGGGCTGAATAGAAAAAGGTCAAATTCATCTCGACATTGCTTCGTATGGTGTATGCAAAAACAAACATACAGATGGAAAAAGATTCCACTTTTATTGAGCTTCTAAGTTAGCATGACTTCAGCTTTACTGGATACCGAGCCACTGCTGCCACAACTACACACACCACACAAAATCAACCACACATTCTGTCTTTCCCCGTCAGCCTTGGTTTCTCCTGCAACACTGTTCAATTAGATACATTGGTTGTTTTTCTCCTAACAGCACTACAAGAGAGGAGAAGTGCATTAAGTATCTCCTAGGAAGAATAGTGTCCAATTCTGGTATGGGCCTTTTAACAGATTAATTATAAGATTTTCCTTTTCCTGCCAGACATTTGGGTTTTCTTGCTCTGACTTTACCATCCACACAAAATAGTTCCAAACAGAAAATGGAAAATGAACTACAGGGAATTAATCTAGGAAGGAATGGTTGGGAGAAAACAAGAGGAAATGGAGAAGGAAGGGTGATGGGGGGGGGGGGTGCGAGTTCTCAGGTGAGATGGTGTGCTTGACACAATTTTCTTATCAAGGCCCTCTTTCACTGGTGAGTGGCTTTGGAGCTTTGTTCCAAAGGGAAACGTATTTACCGACGTAATCCTCTCCACTTCAAACTGGCTTCCAACGGGATAAACGGAAAATGTGTTGAAATAATCCAACACAATTTTCAGCCAAAATAAAAACAGAAGAAAAGCTGGGGAGAAGAGCAGCAAAGTGATGCATAAAGAGGTAAACAACCCCCCCCCCCCCCCCGTCTAAAAAGTGAGCACAGCGACTGGTGGAGAGCATGATGGGTAGAAATCTCTGACACTATTATAATGGGGTATTTTTACTCAAGCAAAATCTCTAAACCTGAAAATACCCAAATGCTAACTGGCATAGTGGAAAGCTTTCTTTGACGCAGAAAAGCACAACTGGTTGTCTCTGGAAGTGTAACTATGAGCCGTGACACCGCCGCTTGAAATTCTTAAACGCAGTCACATCTGCGTTCGCACTGAATCAATGCCTCGACAAAATCCAAAAGGCCGTCAGAGAAGTCACGTTTAATTACCGAGGGATAACAAATTGAATGCGATGTTGGTGTATTTTTCCATAAACGAAGGAAATGATTGTGTTAAAACCGTTAAAAACTCCAGGCTGTCGTTTCCTTTGTCCCTGCCTCTGGGCTTGCCTGCGATCGCAGCCCGTCTCCGGCAGGAAAGACACTCCCTGTGGCTGGAGAGACGCTGGTGTCCCTGCGGATGATCCTAGCACGCAGCTACGCAGGATTTATTCAGTGCGTGTCTCTGTCACAAGGCAACTGTCTGTTTGGTTAACTCAAATCAAGGAAACCGGTGCAGGGGCTATTGGTGAAAGTGTGTGCGCCTACTGAGACGATGTAGGCAGGATGTAGGGCCACCTGTCCTCGGAGGTCAGCCACCAACGCCGCGCGGTGGCCTGCTTCTGACTCGCATGCACGCACACACAAACACACAGCCTCAAGGAGCACAGGCGCGAGCTGTCGGGCTACATCAAAGCACCCGTCGCAGACAAGGGTGAACCCCAAGCTGTGGGCATTATGGTGGTGCTGTGGTTCTTCTCAACAACACACAGAAACACACACATGGCTTCTAACCTATCACACAAAAGCTACAGTGTTGTTATACAGCCTGCCCCGCCAGCAACTGCAGTGCCATATTTGAAAAAGGCTATCTGTCATTTGGTACACACAAAATGAACACCTACATTTTCCATATTTATATGTGGGTCTCCGTATACGCCGTATTTGACAGTTCCCGCAAGCCTCATGGAATAAATAATAATAAAATAAATCAGACCAAATTCCATCAGATTAGCCCACTATAAGAATATTGAATATATTTGCAGCTAAATTAAAGAATGAGTCAAATAGACAAGAGTTGGACAGTAAGCATAAATGATTAAAAATATCAGGAGGGAAATCCCAAAGTGACTCAACAGGAGCATTAAACATTTTATCATCTGCCCCTTTTCACTTTGTAGACAATACCATCGTCCCTTTCGCAGTGAAACGTGTTTCTCTGTGGAGATGAACATGTTGAGGAAAATTGCGCCTGACAGAAATAAGGGACCTGATGGCGAGAAAAGGGTTAGCGAGATGAAGGCATAAGAGCAGAGGGTGGAAAATAAACGCACGTCTTGTTTTTCCAGTACTAGGGGAGCTATTATAAGCAAGGCCGACACATTCTCATAGCTTTCCCACTCTAAATGTGGAACTCAACTTGATCTGAGAGGTCGCTCAAGGATAGAGGGTTAGGGCAGGCGGTGCATGCGTGGTGCTCAGGTTTTATTGCTAGCCCCCCCACACCCCGTGGAGTAAGCGCATGTTGGGGACGGCTGGCGTTACAGTGTCAGATGTGTTTTAATGGTGACTGAAGCATGTGCACAAACAGGCATGTGCACAAACAAGCATGTGGGGTGAGGAACGGCATGTCTGGCCATGCACTTACCACAAGTTTCACTCAAGAATATTTTTTCAAATGCAAACACACATCATACATTTACAATTATGTTTGTGCTTCCAGCATCCCAGCACAATCTGGCTTTGGAGTAAGAAATAATCTCATTTGATTAAAACCTCGCAATTGGAAGTGTAACTCTGTAAATAATTATTGATGAAATAAAGCTCAATGTCTGTCTGTCTGTCTGTCTGTCTGTCTGTCTCCCCCTCCCCCGCTGTGCACTGAGGGTTTGACATTATTCTCGAGGATGTTGATATGCTGTTAGAAAAGGTGACCTCCATTTTAAGCCACTGGAATGCAGAGACAATGGAAAGCCAAGCGGGTAAGTTATCAGAAGGGTGCAGAGCCGTTGAGCCTGCCAGGAACTGCACTCAGTACTGCCAGAGGAGTAGGATGGATACAGTGCCCTCCTTGCCAAATACACTATCCGCTCTTCACCCCCCCTCGCTAAACTATCTAGCCTCCTCCGCACCTACTAAAAAAAGCTAGTTTTCATCTTCAATATTTCTGCTGTTACAGCACTTCCACTGGCTTCCAGGCCGCTTTTTAAAGTAATGTCTAGAAACCACCATGACTTTTTGGCTGGATTTCAAAAGCTTACAGCCTCTGGGAACCTTGAAGCTAGTGGCAGGGAAATTTGTATTTTAACAATAGATAATAAATAAAAATACTAACAGTCATGATTTAAATAAACAGATTATTTCCAACCACTGTTGCCTGATCCCACAATGACTAGAAATAGAGAGCAAAAGGCCATTCTGGTGTTCAACTAAACAATTGCAGCTCTGTTTAATCAGGCCCTCCTGTCAGCACCCATCAGGTGATGAGAACAGTTGCATAAACTACGCATTTCGCTGACTAAGAAACTTCCAGCAGTCTCTTTTTCTCTTTATATCTTTGCTGCGCTCTTATTTCCTCTGCTCATTTACTGAATTCGAAGATTAGACACAATGGGACCTTTGGTTGACCAACTCTTTTTCTCACTTCTCTATTACGGCCCCATTTTATCTCAGTTTTTCAAACAGACACCCTAATACAGAGAATAGCATACAGTATAAACAAACAGTTTGTGTGCAAACAGAAAGACAGATGCATACACATACACACACTTACACACACTTACACATGCACACAAAGCCCCCTTCAGGACAAGGGCTTACACTGACATTAAAGGGCCTTTGTTTAGCCCCAGCTATCGCTACTCCACAGGCGGGTTATGTTGTGAGCATATCTACGTCTACGCCACAGTGTTTGTGAAACCACAATGTATGGAGTGAACTCTTGCAGACACCCTCGGTACCCAGAGCTAATGTTGCATTGGTTTGTGTGTGTGCATTGTGGTTTGTTTTGTGTGCAGAACTGAGAAACAACAACAGTTTCACCAACAATACTCAGGGAAGCAGAACAATTGTGCCTTTGACGGCGTTTGTTTGTGGTGTTTGGGAGACAGGAAATGAGATCATGCTGAGGGCTCCGGCTGTGTGCGTACACAGCTTATCGAAGAGCGGGGCCAGGCCACGGAGAGAATACCAATCACTTATTAGCCGGCCTCACAAAGCTTATGGAAATGAGGAAAAGTTCATTCAGTGCAATGTATCAAAGCAAGGTGGAATCTGTGGTTAGACTAGACACTGCCAACCCTCCTCTTCCTCTCACTCACTTGATTCCAACCCTCCCATAAAGTCATAAGTAACATTTTGAAAGAGATGATACCAAAGCAATGGCTAAACATTTATCACTGCAAAACTCCGCTTTTCATCATACCTAAAATTCCTTTATCTCATTACACTTTAAGTTACAGATTTTTTAGGCTTTACAGAGAACGCCGAGTTGAACACTGCGTCTCCTTCCCCTCTTCCTTTATTCTGTATCCATTTATGACTTGTGGAAACAGAGCAGGCTTCCTCTTTGTCTTAGTACACAGGATCTGGCCTTTCCTCTTCTGCGTGTCACCCTCTCATTTGCCTCGGTCTCTCATAGCAAAAATCAATGTCTCTCTGGCTACACACAACCTCCTTAGCCGCCAGCCGGCTGCCTGCCTCATCCCTCGTTCATCTATGGGTGGAAAATGTTCCATCCTTCGATGAATCCATATTATTTAGTTTGCCTTGTGGCCTGATCCCCAGAACCCACACTCATACAGCAGTTTGCACACTTTGTCCACAGGAGGGACAGTGGAGATAAAGCTGTGGAATGAAGCTGGGGCGATGAAGGAGTCAAAGTTAGAATTAGATTCCAATGGTGACATTTTTGCCTTAATGCCCTATTAAGACTTCAAAGCGCTCTATTCAGCACATCCAGCATTTAGCACCTTTGATAATTCTGTTTGGGTTTATTTTGGGGTT